AGGAAAATATCAGCTGACCACATTGGCAGATTTCTTTGCTCAATACAATAAAAGTTGATTATATTTCAGAATATTTGGCTTCCAGACGTGCTGTACGCAGCGTACGAAGCGTTGAATGAAGGTCTGTGCGGCACTGACGACTCACCAGGCTGGCGGCGTACATGGGCACGATGACCGGCTGCTTCTTCTGTCCTGTGAACAGCTGCAGGCATTAAAGCGACAGGTTAGAAAACTCACACATCCTGAGAGAGAAGTTAAAAACAAAAAGAAAATAATTCCTCACTAACGAAGAGAACTTAGCTTGATGTCGTGGTCCCTAATCAATAAAGGTCACAGATTACTTGATGAGTCATTCAATCTCTTCTAAAAATACACATTTAATAGAAATAATTATAAGTTAAAGGTTTTTAAATCTCTTTCTCTATGTTCCAGCTGAAACAGCGTCCAGCGGGGGACTCACAATGTTTCGGGTGTCGATGCCCAGGCAGCAGAGTAGTGTTTTGTTGCAGTAGGAGCCGCCCCACTGATATCTGAGGCCGAACGCCTCGTGGATGTCCTGAAGCTGCATCCACACGCCGCCACGCACGGACCTGCAACAACCAACGAGACGCAGCCGAGTCAAAGACAGCTGACGTTCATACAGAGTAAAAACCGTTTATTAGAGCTGTCAGTCGATGTGAAGAGTCTTCGTTGAGCAGTGTGAACCGACAGCGGCTGGAATTAATGAGAGAAACCTCAGTGTGACTCAACAACCGTGACTAGAAAGTGATTTTACACTGGAGGGATTCAGCAGAGTGAAAGTTACTTATTATGTTATATACTCTGATAATGACAATATTCATTATTAGAATAAAGCTAAAAAATGAGTTGTTGGTCTGTTGGATCCTTTGGAAGTTACTGATGCTGTCTGATTGAACCGGTAGAGCTGTAGGACCACCACACAGGACGAGCTGCCGTCACTGAGGCCAAACAGGGAACAGCAGACATTTAAAGCTGGAAACAAATACACTAACCTTAAACCTTAACCGCTCTCAGTCAGTTGAGCTGAGGAGGCACAGACTCACCTGTTGCACGGCGACCTCGTCTCGTCCTCGGCTCCAGGCTGCGGTTTGTCCTCTGGAGGTCCCAGCAGGATCTTCAGCGACGCCACCTCGTCCTCCATGGAGGGGACGGCCGTCTGAGGGAAGCTGCTCTGAAACAGCTTCTCCAGTCGGCTCGACAGCGACGCCTGCAGAGACGGCAGCCGGTTACTCACACAACGCTTTCACACTGTCCACACGGGGACGTTTGACGGCACCTCTCAGGACATTAACGGTCTGAATCTGTGATTTGTTCTGAACGTTATCGTCTACAGAGCCATCTTTACTCAGGAACCTCTCTGAATAAACTGAGGCTGCAGCTCAAACGGGAATCCAGGAATTTTTCTCCCATCAAGCCTCAAACTCTCAGGAATTCATAACGTTAACGTCCAGATTCCCGGGTCGAGCGTGCAGAAAGAGCCGACGGTTACACAGCTGCTTTCACTGAGAGTGGAGAGCTGAGTTCATGTTTTAGACCTGTGGAAGGACACGTCTCACCTGTCTGGACCAGCAGACGAAGGTGAAAGCTTCGACTCGACAGTGAAGACAGACGTGTTTCTGCTCATTTATTACATTTTTTACATCCAGTGCGAAAGAGGCTCGTGAAATACGGCGGGGTCGTTCTTCGTCGGCACATTAAAGATAATGTATGAATGAAAATATAAAAACTGTTTTGTTCCGTCCATATTCTGCATTTTCTGAAAGCTTTTGGAAAAGGTGTGTCACACTAAAACATCCAAGCAAAACAGATTAAATCTCTTCTCTCTGACAGAACGGCTCAATGTTATTTAAAGGACCAGTATTACCGGAGGACCTCTTGTGTCGCGTCTGCGTGGGAGAGTCTGTATTTCACTCTAATTTACTGACACTGTCAGCGTGTTAACGAAGCGACCGCTGCCGGCTTCAGCTGGAGATAAACACAGCTCTCGGTTTCTGCAGCTGGCAGCTATTTAATGAAGTTAAAGGAAAGAATCTGACACCCAGCAGATACATGAAATGTTGCTCAGTGTGTGTTTGCACCTCTGCTAACTAAAGCCCATAGATATAACTTATACACTGATAGATGGGCTTCTCAGCATACGTCAACACCGCCGCCCTCTTGGAGCGGGGATCAGATCAGCTCTAAAGATGCCGGACTTTTGTGCTGCTTATAGACGCTCGAACGAAAGAAATGAAACAACCAAACATGAAGGGATAACATGTCACAGAGAATGTGTTTTATGATATTGAATGTGACGAAATTATATTGTTTCAGTCTCATGTTTCAGTATATATATCTATGGTTCGCGACGTTTTCAAAATAAAAGCACGACCGTCAAAAAGGTACTGCATGAAATATTGAGCTGTGAAGCCTTATTTAGTTTTTGTGATTGTCATTAGATATGAGTACAATACAGCTGTAAAAGCAAATACACATAATATAAAGTGGAAGAATAATAAACCTAGGCATTACATTTTGAAGTAGATTATATTAATATCAAAAGCTTAAATTTTCTCTGGACTCGATCATAAATACACGTCTGTCAGTTGGAACAAACCAAAAAACTAAAAGAATTGACGCATTCGACCCAATGAACAGCGGTAGTCAAGGCGACATCAGTCAGTATATATATATATATATCTATGACTAAAGCCGTCTGGAGAAACGTCACTGATGTTGATCTGTGTGAGTTTCAGATGCAGCACTTCTTCACGAGGTCCATAATAACAGCAGTGCGGTGTGAACAGGACTCGAGGAGAACCTGCAGGTCTGCCTGGTTAACGGTTCGATCGGGCCGATTTAAAAAGAGTCTCAAAGGAACCGAACTACAGACGAGTTTACTCTTAGAGAGTAACTGCACCCAGTGTGATAATCCGACCTGTCCTGTCAGCTCCTAACCACACCCAGCGGTGACAGCGGCAGAGAGACGACACCTCCCAGCTGTTCCTCCCAAACTGTAACAGGGTCCACTCTGAGATTGTTTTATAATCTGTGTGGGGAGAAAGATATCAGCTCCGTGTGGACGTAGAGACGAGATCTGTAATCTGGCTCCTGCTGGTTGTGACACTGGTGGTGAACCTGTGTGACTGTTAATCTGACAGGAATGTACTTTAAATACCTGCACAGGTCTCATCCTGAAGTTTGCTTTAAAGGTCTTTGTGATTAATGAGTTAATGTTTAATACAAACAGTGGAAGCTGCTGTGACTCAACACGAACAACCAGGAACTGAATTTAAAATATAACTTCCTCTTTTGGTTCTCTCCTGGTTTTACAAACGTTATTGTAAAGTTTTTATTCGTCAGTGATGAACTGAAAATGAGTAATTAGTTTACTTCTGTCAAAAGTCACTGAATTACTGAAAAAAGTAAAAGTAATCTGGTAGAAGAGAAAGTAACTTTTTAAACGTCAGGAACCTCGAACCTTGTACGTGTTTCGTTATTAAAACAACAACAACAACAACAACACTTATTGTAAGGAGGATTCAGCAGCAGAACATCTTAAACCCTCTGCACACCAACCCGACGGCC